GCCTGCCTGCCTCCCGTCCTGTAGAAGCTTAGCCCCGCCCTGCCCAGCTTATTCTGTGTGCCTTTGGCCTGACTCGGTTCCCAACTAGATGATAGGTTCTGGTGGTGGGCACTGTGCCTGCAGTCTCTGTCCCTGTCACATCCCTCACCCAGGGCAGGGGACCCAGCAAGCACTCTAGAATAGCTCTTCCACCCCAGCGGCGATCTGGGCTGCAGGAGAGAGATGAAAGGAGTGCGTCAGTCCCGCTGCCCACCAGGCGGTGGCACCAGTCTGCGGGCCAGGCCAGGCCCCGCAGCGGCTGTGGCTGGCTGGGGAGCTGGGAGCCCAGCCACAGCCTCGTCCTGGATAAGCACCAGTTACTGGCATTTCCTGTGGGCAAGGGGCAGGGAGAGAGGTCCAGGGGAGCAGCAAGACTGTAGCAGAGTGGGGGCGTTTGTGAGCCCCGCCCTGGAGTGCACCCAGGGGTCAGAGTTCCTGCTTTCTGGGGACAGCCAGGATGGCCCCGAAGCCCCAGGCCCTTCAGGACGCACAGCACTGGGCCACCCTAGGCTGGGCACCAGGCACTTCTGAGCCTAAGATACTGAGCACGGCCTGCACCCTGAGTGTGGACGGTAAGAAATACCAGCGGAGGGCTGTCACCGCCTAGGGCTGGGGGTTGGGGAAGGAGCCCTTGGACCAGGCCCCAATCACAAAAAGCCTCAAATCTAGACTTTGGGCATAATCTCCAAATTGGAGTATGAGTGTGACCAGGAGTTCCCCAGACGGGACACAGGATGACAAGGCCAGCACAACCCCAACTGTTAAATGTAAACATTTAACATGCACCATCATTTTGGGCAGACAGTTGCCATGTTTCTTCATTTTCATATAAGGCAGTGACCTCAGAAGACGGGAGACCATCCGCCTCTCAGAGTCCATGGTGCTAGCCCCCCCGCCCCTCCCTTGTTCTGCAAAAGGACACCCGAGGCCCCTGTGCCTGCTGGCATGGTGCTCCCTCAGCACTCCAGCTTCTTCCTTCATCTGCAAACTGACAGCAGGGGACCGTGTGACCCCCAGCTCCCCTCCAGCTCTATTTCCTTACAAAATAGTGTACAACGCTCCTCCGTGATGTGGGTTATCTGAGACCAACCTAATTTAGGACTATTCTTCATTCACTCAGTCATTCATTCACTCATTTGAGATTGATTGGGCACTGCGGTATGCCAGGCACCTTGGCAAGGGCTGAAGACAGAGTGGAGAACCTGAGGGGCACTGCCCACTGCTCCAGGGGATCCGAGGTTTAGTGGCGACCACAGATAAAACTGTGAAGGCAACTGCCGCGTGGTGTGCGAGATGCCCCGATGGGGGAGGTACATGTAGCAGGGCCCCTAACCCAGCCCAGGAAGATGAAGGAGAGCTTCCTGGAGGCAGAGGCACCTGAGCCGAGACCTGAAGGTGAGGAGGAGTTACCTGGGCTTGAAAATTGAGGGGTGGGATTGGACATGGGGCCTCAGAGAATCCTCGCTTATCAGGGGCGTGGGGAGCTGGCTCTGTTCCCTTCCTTTTTGGCTGCTCCCATCACAGGGATCCATGGCCTGCAGAGGGAGGGCATCTGTTCCCAACCATCCACTCATGAGGTGGTGTCCTGCATGGAAGGGTTAAAGATCTGGTAAGCGCTGTCAACCCTCTCTGCAGGAAAACTGTTTCCACGTGAGTCCTCTCCAGCAATGCCCACAGCGGCAGGGATTCCACAGGCTCACCAGGGAGCCAGGGTGAGAAGCGTGGATTGCAGGCAGAACAGGTGGTGCCATGCTCCACGCTGGCAGGTACTTCCCTTCCTGAGCCCCATCACACCACCTACTCTGGTGACTCTGACCCTGAGGGTCCTTCTGCGGACTCGTGTGTCTGAACAGGATGGGAGAGGCTGGAGGTGCTTGGCAGGTAGGCTGTCGCCTGGCTCCTCTGCTTGTTCCTGCAGTGTGACCCCACTGGTGTGGGCTTATGCCCCTACAGGACACCCTTCTGTTTGGGGTGCAGACAGACAAGCCTCATTCTTGGCCCACAGCAAGTGCCCGCGGGATGCCTGGTGAAACACGGCAGGTTTGCCAGTGGGTGGGGTAAGCAGTGTCTGGCTGGGCTGGCCTCCCTGCCTTTTCCATCTGCGGACTCCAGTGACCTCTCTGGCAGGAGGAAGTGGCAGAACAGGCCACTGGGGGACTGGGCTCACTGTCTGTGTCCCGCTGTTTGGTTACAGGCCTGTTGGCTCATCTCTAGGCAGAGTGCTGAGGGTGACGATGGGTCTCAGTGGCAGAGGGTCACAGGGTACTGCCAGGCAAGTGTCTCATCCTCTGAGGGCCTTTGACCTGACTGGAGGAAGGTGGGAGGCAGCTCTCTGGAGCAGGAGTCTTGGGCTGGGGTGCTGGCCTTGGTGGACTTCTTACTAACTGCAGGGTTTTGGAAAAATCCTTCAAGCGACCATATGAACCTTCATTCCTCTTGTAAAAAAAGACACTGATCTGCACCATGATGGGGTTGGTATGAAGATATGAGATTTGACAAGAGTCACAGTAATGGTAATAAGAGCTACCACTTGTCAATACTTGTTGTGACACTTCCGTGCTCAGGACTTTCCATATGTGAACCACGCATGGGACGTACATGCAAGTCTTTGTGAGCCATCTGCATGTGGAAGAGCACGTCATTCCTGGGAGTGGCAGCAGGATGAATGCTGTCTCGGGCTCCCCAGACCTGAGCGAGCCCCTCAGCAACCCCAGGTCCCCAGTGCAAACCTGGACAGGGCTGTCTCCTTTCTGGTCCTTAATGCTTTGTCAAAGAGGAGCGTAGCCCAGATGACCCCTAAGGGTCCATCCAGCGAATTGGTCTGGGGAGAGTTACCATCAGGAGGCTGTCAGGGATGCTGAGGGCAGGAGAAAGAGGAGACCAAGGGGCTGGGTACTGATGATGGGGGAAGATGGGGGCCTGGTAGAACCAAGATCCAACTATCTAAGGGACAAAATCCCACAGATCCTGTTTGGCAGTTATTCTCAACCCTGAGAAGAGGGCAGCCCTTATTGGAGGTGATTCAGAATCACTGCAACTCTTTGCCAGTGAGCGCACTGTCCCACATCACATGGGCAGTCCACTCGCCCTGGGGAGTCAGCCATGGGTATCAGAAGCTGTAAAGGTCAAATCCAGCCCCCAAACCCTGTGAAAGCCCCAGAGGACCCTTAGATCCAATCAATAGCCCTTAGTGAACACCTTGCTTGCTCAAACCTGGGTCAGAGAGCATTTACTGTGTTAGCAATGTTATTATTAATGTTCCAAAAAAAGCCTGTGCCACACACCCCCATTTATATTTTTCTTCTCTTTACAATATTTTCCATCTGCCTCCATTCTCCCTGACCCAAGACAAGCAAAAATAAGAGCCACCATTTAATGAGCACATACTATGTGCCAGGCCCTGCAGGAAGTGCTTTACGTGTGTGTCCTCATTTAGAGCTCCGCGAAGTAATGTCATCATCGTCACCTGCTCTCTACAGATGAGGAATCTGAGATTCAGGGAGTGTAAGGAGCTTGGCTGAGGTTACAGTGTTAGGGAGTGGCAGAGATCAGATTCGAAACCAGGTCTGTTAGACTCCATTGAACTGTGTCCACAAAGTAAGAAGATATTTTTTGTTTGCTTTTTATGGTCTGTTGTATCGAGTAGCCAGTGCCCTTCACCTGACTTTAGGCTGACTGTGTTGTCCTTCTGTCTGATGATCCTTGGGAAGCCCAAGTGTCCCCAAGACATCTGCAGGCAAGTAAACCACTGTGGCCTCCACCTCTGGTTCAGGTTCAGCCTCTCCCAATCTCAGCGGGACTCAGCCCACCCAGCTCGAGCCTCTGACATCAAAGTATTGTGATAAAAGACACTCTGAGGACGACACATGGAAATGGAAATATTTCTTCCTATTGGCATTTTTTTTTCTGAGTGGGGGGCCTCAAAGAGGAACAGTAGGAGGGGAAGGAGCAATTCCTTTGAACATCAGACCAGCTTAGTAGGCCCTGCTGCCTTCTCCAGGCCCATGGTGACCGCTCTGTGCCAGGTCAGACACGAGGGAGGCCCACGGACCCCCAGGAGCAGGAGTTCCCAGTGCCATGGAGACAACACTCTTCCTTTTGGGGATCCTTTCTATCTTGTCCAAGAACCCCGAGGGATTCTCTCTCTTCCCGTCTTTCAGGAGAGGAGCGATAACTCAGTCACAAGGAAGAATAAGTGACCATCCATGCTGAGTAGCTCCCTGCTCCCCAGGGGTGGTGAGGAGCGAGGTGGGGTTTGCATCTCAACTATAGGGTTAAAGGAATGGCCTCCACTCCTGGAATTTCAAATGTCAGTGAGTGGCTTGGGAAAAGGGTATCCTGAAGCTGGAGGCTGATGATGCTGGTGTTTATAATATATTCTCCAAAGTATTTTTTTTAGCTTTTAGATTTAATTTACAAATGCCAACCTTCTGGTCCATACTCAATGTATTCTCACTGGACTAACTCCCAGTCTCCTTAGTCTTTGTGCTCTGGAAATACCTTGTTGGGCATCTCCAGGGATCTCTCCACTAGCAAGTGGAATCCCCATCCAAACCCTACTGTTTGGCAATCAATCCTGAGTACTGCCCAGCCTGAGAAGCCGAAGACCCCAGGGGGTGATTTGGAGAGGCTACAGCCACCACCCTCTTTGATGTCAACTCCAAAGCCTTGGCTACACCCCAGTGTGGCTTTGGGCTCCTATAACAACATACCATTGACTAGGTGGCTTTAATTTTTTTTTTT